GCTGCCCTCACAGATGGTACTCCCACCCCCAACCAGGTCACACCTCATTTCTGGCTGTCCTCCAGCCACCAGCCTCTGTCTCCGCCCACCAGGTTCCTTGTTGTAGTTCCAGTCATCTTCCTAAGACACAAAGCCAAGTCCACACACCCCAATCACAATTGTTCTGAAAGCTGCTGGAGCAGACGGCCCTGCAAGAGGGCTGAGGGCTAGATTAACTCAGTCAGCATGTAACCAGAGGAGACAGCCTGCCCTGCAGGCCCTGGGAGCAGTCAGATTGTATCTGTGACACTGCATAGTAAGAGAATGGGACGAGGAGGGAGGGAGTGAAAGAATAGGTGTGTCCTCAGTGGCCTATGGACAACGGTCAGTGGCTTTTACAAACTAAGGGGTCTTGGGGCCAGGTAGTGGCTCAGTGGTAACACTGGACCCACATTGGAACCCGGGTTCATGTCTTGTCCCAGGAACTTCCTGAGCATGCTGGGAGCAAGTGTGCACCGAGATTTGGGCTGGCTGACAGGTAGGTTGAGGCCTGAGGACCCTGTTGATAGCTCTCTTTTTCTTGGAAACAAATAAATGGATAAAGTTTAAAAATAATAAACTAAGGAGTTTTAACCTTTGTGCATGTGCACCACAGAGTGCTTTGGCAGCTAGATGAAGCCTATGAAACCCTTCTCAGCATAATGCATTTAGATGAATAAAGGAAAATATATAAGATTATGAAGGAAAATGATTGCATTGAAATACAGCTATCAAAATATTTTGGGATACAGTGTTTTATGGCCCCTTTATTAACATATTGACACACTGAATAGTAAGATCTGCTAGTGGATCTGACAACTACCCTAACTCCTTAGTAGTAAGGAGCAGAAATGCTATTTTAGGACATGCACAATGACAAAAAGAGAATACGAAAATACCTGTGTTGCTACTGGTACAAAGGTACTGATAATAATACCATGGTCTGTTTCCTACATTTAAGATTGAAGGCATTGTTTAAGTCAGTGAGAATAAAGGTGTGTTTCTCTCCCTGAGTTCTGTCCAGGTTAAGAAGATGATTCTGTTGTATACTCAAGGTAAAAACCACCACTCTAGAGCTGCTAATCTACACCCTCTTTTAAAGATATATCTCAAAGAATTCCCTTAATTTCCTTTAGTAAAAAGAAAAAAAAAATGAAGAAAATTTAAAGCAACGCAAAAGCAAAGTTGTTTTCCCCTGTACAAAAAAAAGGTCATTTTCCAGTCCATTGGCAGGGCTACTGGGTGGGGACCAAACTGGAATCTGCCCTGGGCCTCTAATGAGTTTCTGAAGCCCCTGGTCTCAGCCTTCCCGACACTACCCACAAAGTTCTCCCACAGGGAAAAGGTGGCTTCTGGAATGTTTAAACTTTTCAAGTTGAACCACTTATGCTAGTTCGCCTGGAAAAAGCCTTAATATGTTTCAGGGGTGGAGAAACATGTGCTCTGGCTTCATTTGGCTCACCAGCTGCCACGTCACATTTTGCCTCACCTTTGTGGGGTAGCTGGGGACGCAGGAAGCTTCAGGCCCCGAGGAAGGCCGTGTGCAGATGCTGTAGAGAAGATCGCCTGGGCATGCTGCAGTTTCTTTTTTTTTTTTTTTTTCGGAGAGGTTTTATTTGCTATAGGGCACGTGCGCTTGCCAGACAGACAGAGAGAGACAGAGAAAGAAAGCGAGAAATCACCCCCAAGTGGTGATGGTCACACCGCAATCCCTTCTCCTCCATTCTCCTCTCGGGATCTTGGGCACACACACACGCGCCCGGTGTGAGTTTCAAGCTACTGGGTCCGGGACGCGAACCGCAGTCGACTATGTGGGAGTCCAGAGACATAGCCATTATGCTAACTGCTGGTTCCCATGTGCCGCTGATTCTTGCCCTGAACATCCTAGAGCCACCTAGCTTCATAATGACCAGAGTGCCACCTACTAGATCCTGTGCATGCTGGCCCTGGGGACCCCACCATGCCCCCAGGCTGCTCTCGATCTCCAAGTTGAGACCCAGGCCACACTCTCCCAACACCCAGAGTTCCCAAGTTCACTTCCTTCCTTAACTCTCCTTCTTGGGCATAGGTGGGTATGTCATTTAACTTCACTGGGTTAGTTTTCTCATCTGTAAAGCGGGAATGACATTTAGGAAGATCGCAAGTAAGATTGCTCTGGAGTAAGACACACTTATTTCCAAATCCCAACTTGGCCACACACTCACTGTGCAATGCACCAATTTGGTTTCTAATCTTTAAAATGGGGTGAGCGCCCCCATTCCGGGTGGGTTTGGTAACAGGAAAGGAAACAGCATAAATGAAATGGTCACCATGAGAATACAAGTAAACAAGAGGAAGAGGCCTTGGGATGGCATATCACAGCCGAGGACACACATGGACAATTGGACACATTTTAAAACTAGTAGAACAAGAAACGGATGCACATAACATAATGTTCGATGTTAAAAATGAGTATGGCTCTACCCTAGACTGGGTTATTGTACACTGTGCGCATGCCTTAAAAAACATTTTGCGGGAACCAGCAGTTAGTGTAATGGCTATGTTGCTGGACTCCCATGTAGTCGACCGCGGTTCGTGTCCCGGACCCGGTGGCTTAAAACTCATGCCGGGCGCGTGTGCGTGCATGCCCAAGATCCCGAGAGGAGAATGGAGGAGAAGGGATTGTGGCGTGACCATCCCCCCTGGGGGGGGATTTCTCGCTTTCTGTCTCTATGTCTCTCTCTGTCTGTCTGGCGAGCGCACGCACCCTATAGCGAAAATCTCTCCCCCCCAAAAAAAAATTTGTAGCTCACAAAGACATACATCGATTGCATGTATGCCAGAAATCATATTTTAAAACAATTTTTTAAATGGTTACACAGTGCCTGGCATGTAGTAGGTGCTCAGTGAACATTCTTCTCTTTCCTTTCTCTCACCCTCCAAATATCAGGAAAGCCTGGGGGTTGAGGGGCAGCTCTGATCAGAGGAGGCACTGAGTATAACTAGCCTTGGAGTTGACCTTTCTGCTAAGGGTTGTATGCTCTTTCTGGACAAAGAGGTTCCCACAGACATCACTGGGGGAAAAACAGGATCCAAAATCCAAGGTGAAAACACAAGGCTGCTGAGTGGGGAAAATGTTACAGCAAGCAGAGCGCGAGGCTTGCTACTTCCCGAGCCTGAGAAGGACAGAGTCTGCCACCCTCGGCCCACTGGGGAACAGGCCCTTCTGTTCTGAGCCCGGATGTTCCTCCATTCTGCCCACTACTCCCTCTGCCTTTTGTACCTACTTCCTTTTCTGAGAGGCCCTGTATTATGAGACGATGGAAAACTCGGGCTGTTTTCCCTGCGGCTGTATTTTCCACATCGCATCATTGAAATATGTCAGGAGTCAATCTCGTCAGACACAGGGCATGCCACCCACTTAAAATGCTCTCGCTGCTGGTTTAGAATATCCCTCTCTAGGAGAAGCAAGTCTGATATCTGGTGACTGTGAGAACAAAAGGAAGTGGGTGAGAGATTCCACAGATTCCTCACCATCCTCCTCTACCCTTTGGTGATTTGGGTTTTCTATTTAGGCACTGGTGGATGGGGGTGTTCAATGATTCTTGGTAGCTGCATAATTATATAGTTACATAGCTATAACCAGGTGATGGGAGGTTCATCATAACTCTTCAAAACCACTCAAAATTGTGGCTGCAAACTCCCATGACTTTTTCTGTCAGAAATATATCTTTCTATTGAAATGGCTGAAATGTATATACAGGTTGATGGTCTAGTTCTACCATTTAACCATCTCCCATGACTTCTGGAATTTAACATCTCTAAACTCCTGTGTTTTAGTCTGCAAAACAATGTCTCCTTTCTAGCATGATAAGGACTAGAAGATAAAAGATATAAGAACACCTAGTATACAACCCAACAGATGATAGGTGTTAAGAATGTAGTTGATTAAAGGAGAGGAAAAACTCAAGGAGGAACATAGTTCAAGAAAGTAAAACTCATTTACACACTTGAAGCTCTTCACTGAATCTTATCTTCAAGAACTCTGGCCTTTGTATTCTCCAATTCACTCCCAGATCATATAGCTTTCATCTATTAGAAACATTCGTTCAGCTTCTGAGAGCCTACCCCCTGCTAAGTGCAGAAACAGGGACTCAGAAGTACATGGTAGATAAAGCAGGTAGATGAACTCCTTGCCTTCCCAAAGCTCACAGCCTTCTAGAGCATTCTTTTAGCTACCACTTTATGAAGTTCTGATTTTTTGCTCTGGGATTGGGAAAATCCCTTCCCCATTGATCTTCACTATATTTCTCAGCATGAGGCAGCCCACCTTCCTTATTACTAATCCTCTGAGAGGTGACAAAAACAGGGCACCCCGATCCTGCTTCCTGAGACAGGAAACTCCAGATCCACAGTGTACTAAAAACGGAGTAGAACTGAATTGGAATGACAGCCCAACTCAGATCACTGCGTGATTTGGAGAAAAAGTCCTGGGTGGCCAAAAAAGTCATGACATGTTTTTCTATGCAAAAGTATGTCATGACTTTTCTGATGACCCAATATATTTGCCCATTTATGTTTTCTCATCTAAAAAGATGAGAGGTTTTGGCTGGGAAAATGATAGGAATGCATTTCAAGTACAATCCTTTTCCAGTTGGCTGTCAGTGGCTGCTGAAAGTCCTGGGTTGCCTCAAGTGCTAAGGCTTTTCCTGGGCTCATAACTACAGATCTGTGATCGACCAGCAATGTCTGCTATAGGCATGGCAATGGTGGTAGCAGTGATCCTGTGAATTCTACTATTTATAATTGTGTAGCCCTGTGAAATATTCCTTTGCTTTATCTTTGGCATGAGGCCGGTCTTCACACACAATAGTTTTTCCGTATTTGCCCTAGCACCTTAGCCACGATCACTTTTCAGAAACTTCCTGTTACAGTGTGTAAAACAGCAACTTTCAACAAAATAAGCATATTTACTGGCTTATCACACGTGTATTCTGTAAATGACTGCTTCCTGCAAGTAGTTTACTACCTGCAAGTAGGGATCCAGGAAATTAGATCAGAAAAGTGAACTTACACTTATTCTGGCATCTGTCCCATGCCAGATACTTTCCATACATTGCCTCCTACTTATAAAACACCCTTCTGGGCAGGCACTAAATCCCCTTTAACAGAGCATAAGCCAGTGCTCACTGTGATGAGGGAAGTTGCCCCGGGAGCAGGGATTCCAACCTGTGACAGTTCAGATTCCAAATTCTAAAGCACTATGAGCCCCTAAATGTACCCAAATGTCTTGTTTATTCTTTTTCATCCGGGAGGTAGAGGTGAAAAATGAGACTGACAGTAAGTCTAGACAGAGCAGTGTGGGCTGGGCAAACATTTAGATGACTCAGCCTCCATCCATCATTTTCCTACAGTCTGCTGAGGATGTGACCAGGAGTAAGTACAGGGTTCCTGCCTGATTTGGGAGACCAGTGCAGACGATCAGACTTGGGACATGACTGCAAGTTCCCCGAGAGCATCAGCTGTGTCCTTCTGCAGCCCCACCCACAATCCTGCCCCAGTTCCCTTCCACTGCCCCTGCTTCTGACCCTGGAGGAGGAGAGGAATGACCACATGCTCAGCTGGCTCCATCCTCCAGCCCTCCTGGGAAAAACCACCACCTCCATCACAAAACCTTCTCCATGGAGGCCTGAGCTGCTCATGTGAGCCCCCAGGAGTCTGGAATGCTCTGAGGGAGAACTCGGAGGCTTTTCAAGCCCCTGGGGATTCTTTTAGGAGACCATGGGGCAGGGGGGAGGTCATAAAGAAGGGTACGAAGCATTGTATTGATACATTCCTGAGTGGTCAAGAAAATCACATCTTTGACTCCTAGAGAGGAGTTTCCAAGATGCGGCCTACACTTTTCGGGGGGGCCTTCAGCACACTGGCTAGAAGCCAGGGTGTGGGGTGAGAAACTCTGGTCAGGGGCATCAGTTATGCCTCAAAGACACCCGAGACTGTACTGCCACGGCGCAGAGGCACCTGCTGGAGCCAGCCGTGGAGAAGGCATTGTGTGTCCAAAGGCAACAGAGACCAGGACTTTCAGAAAGTTCTTCAGTTCAGATTGCACCTTTGTATCCTCTTGTGTCCACAGTTATGAAAACGGAAAGGTAAAAGAAATGTTCTACTTTGTGTGCTGGTGGTAGGGATGTGAAGTAGTGCGGCTACTAAAGAAAATGGCATGGCAGCTCTTCAAAAAAGTAGAGACAGAGCCACCACATAACCCACTTCTGAGTACACAGAGAAAGAATTAAACGCAGGGTCTTGAAGAGATATTAGCACCACTATGTTCACAGCAGCATAATCCATACTAGCCAAAAGGCAGGAGTGACCCACCTGTCCACTGACCAATGAGGGATCAAATGTGGTGTGTATGTATGTGCGTTCACCATGGAATGACATTCTGACACGTGCTACAACATGGATGAATCTGGAGGACATTATGCTCAATAAAATACGGCAACCATGGAAAGACAAGCACATCCGACTCTACCCTCGGAAGTACCTGAGTAGTCGAATTCTCAGAGATAGGAGTAGTATAGAAAGGTAGTTCTCAGGGGCTGGAGGAAGGAAGTGGCTTAAATGGGTATAAACTGATATTTTCAGGGTTTTTTTTAAGATGAAAATATTTCTGAAGATTGATTGCACAATGATGTGAATGTACTCAATATTACTAAATGGTACACTTAAAAATGGTAAAATTTTGGGACCAGCAGATGGCATAACGGTTACATTGCTGGACTCCCGCAGTCGACTATGGTTTCTGTCCCGGAACAGTTGGCGTGAAACTCATGCTGGGCACGTATGTGTGCATGCCTAAAATCCCAAGAGGAGAATGGAGGATAAGGAATTGTGGTGTGGCCATCCCCATGGGGGGGGGGTGATTTCTCACTTTCAGTCTCTCCAGTGAGCACACACCTATAGGAAATCTCTCTCTAAGAAAGAAAAAAAAGGGGGGGGGGTAAATGGCAAATTCTAGGTTATATATATTTTACCCCAATTTTTAAAAAGCTCTGTTAAGAACATGGGCTTTATGGGCCAGCAGGTATGTGGTGGTTGAGGTGCTGGACTCCCACATGGCTGACCATGGTTTGAGTCCTGGACCTTCTCACTTTCCCTCTCTTTCTTTCTCTCTCTCTGTTTCTCCCTGGTGAAAGCACATGCCCTGTAGCAAACTGAAAAATAATTCATTTAATTTAATTAAAAACAAAGAACATGGGCTTTTAGAAATTTCGGGATCAATTAGACATCAGTACTTTGTTTTATTTTTTTCTTCTAGTGCTGGCTCTACCCACCTACTTGCTCTGTTGAGCAGTTTCTGAGTCTCAGACACTGGGTCTAAAGTGGAGCCCGTGGGTCTCTTTCTTGTCTGGGTGTCACGCAGATTACGTGACAGGAGGCTAGCACAGGTTCCGGCACACAGCCAGGGGCTCGTAAACGGCAGCTTTTACCTTCGTGGTCATCAGTTCCTCTTCTCGCCATTGAGGTTATTATGATTATCACTGGGCACTCGATCACATCACAGCACTGGTGGTTTGGTCTGAACTGCTCCCAGAATTTACCCTGAAGATTGACTCAGAGTCACTCTCTGAGTCATAGTGACTAGATAAACATCAGGGAATGTTGTGGCCCTTGATCTTATTTTTAAAACAAAACAAAACAAACTCACAAGCTCTGCTTTTCAGAATGATGCCAGAGGGCAAGGGAGGGCAGGGCCACCACCTCTGACGGTCATGTGGCAAATGCCCTCTAGTCCGGTCAGGAAGAATCCCCGCTGCCCACTTGTCTGGAGGAGCTGCTCAGCCCCCGCTGCACGCAGGCTACGCAGAGACCACAGACATGGCGTGTTCTGCAGCTGCCACCATCAGTCTAACGAGGTTCCCATCACTGTCACTTCTCTGGCCGGCCTGCAGGCACAGAGCAAAAGCAGAGAGCACCATTTCTAAGTAAAAGTTTTCAGAACTCCAAGCCCGAAGCCAGGCTTTTCTCAGGGCACAGACTTTGCAGCGCAAGGAGGACTCAGGTCTCCAGCTCCAGCTGGATTAAGTGAAGCCCTGTCCTCACCAACGTTTCTGTGGCCAAACCTTGTCTTTTCTCCAGGGATTGCATAGAGCCTCATTACGACGCACAGTACAGGCCCAACAAAACCTCGCAGCTGCGGCTCTTGAAGCTCTTCCTGACCTACTTCCTGCCTGACCCCAGCATCATGGGCTGCTCCCCACCCCAGCACACCTGCAGCTTGGCCTTCTAAATGAGCGTTCATCCCATATGCTCTTATTTCCGCAGGCCTCCTTAACTTGGAACAAAGAATGCTTCAGCGAGGAATGCTCTTTCTCTGTAACTGATCATTCCTAGACATCATTCAGAACACATCACGTTTACCACCTCTTCCAGGAAGCCCGTCAACAAGTGCGAAGGGTCAGAGAATCTACTCTTCTTGCAAGATGACAAGTGAGCCCGCTCAGAGAAGACCTGAGACTCCTGGGTCAGAGACAAAAGGACTTGATTCCAGCAGCACAGGTATGGCCTGGGCTTCATGTCAGTGCCAGTTTGCCCTCCCTCCGAGTCCCAGACGCACCATGGCTGAGCCCAGATAATGCCGCCAGTGTAGTGGGTTTTATGTCACATCGAAGGACTCTCAAGCTTATAGGCTGTTTGTAGACCTACTCTCCGCAATGGAGGGGGAGCTAGCTCCGGTTCACTAATAGCTTGGGTGCTCTTTGATGTTAGAGACTATTTTTTTTACATTTACCTGATAGAAAAATAGTAGGTGCTCAGAGAATGTGCAAATAAATGAGTTAAATGATTAATACTGAGAGTTTTATAGCCATGGGTAGTGGGTAATCAAATCATCAAAACAACCAAGAGCTGACGCTTGCTGATGTCTTACTCTTGCATTCCAGATATTGTGTGACGTTTGTGACCTGGATTATTTTGTTTTATCTGACAATTCCATTATTCTCATTTTATATTGAGGACATGAAGGCTTAGACCAGTGAAGGAACCTAACCAAAGTCACGCGGCCCATAAGCAATAGAGCTGCCATTTGAATTGAATCTGCCTGTGCCCAATCTTCTAATTACCCCACTGCAGTGCTTCTCCTACCAAAGGCATCCCAATATTAGTATGGGGTGTTTGTGGAGGTGGGGGACAAAGGAAGAAGTGCCTTTTTGTTTTTTTTTGTTTGTTTTTTGAGTTTCTGGGGTGGAGGCAGTAGCCTGAATGTCACTGTCACCTACTCCTTGGTGTGACTCAGCCAGTTATCCGCCTCCCTGAGACACTGAGTGCTCAGAAATAGTTCCAGCAGAGACTTCTCACCTCCCTGATCTTCCCCAAATGAGGGATACGGTGTGGGTCTTAGAAATAGCCTGGGACGCAGAACTGGCCTCACTCCCTGTCAGACAAGAAGGGCGAGAGAAATTTGAGGAAATCTCTACATTTGCTCTACAGCTTAAAATTTCAAACTATCCCTTTGACCCTTTGAGCTTACTAAAAATCAAAGAAATATAAACAAAAGACGATCTTTTTCCCCTGCCCATCAGGTGGTCACACACTGTGACACACACTATGGAGGGGGTTTGATGAAACACAGCCTCAGAAATTGCTGCTAGGGGTAAGATGGGGACAATCTTTCTGGAGGAAATGTGGCAGCATCCCTCGGCGTTTTAGATACACACTCTCTGACTTAGACATTTAATTTAATATGCACTACAAATACTTCCAAGATCACTCAAATGTATAAATATTGGGGAGCCAGGAAAGTCATGATGCACTTTTGCATAGAAAAACATAGAAAAATACGTCATGTCTTTTCCAATGACCCAATATATAAATAGATGGATATTTACACCAAAATTCTAAATAATTCTCAAGCTCTTTTTAAAAATTCAAAAATAATAGAAATTTATAAAGGAAAAGCCTATTCAAATTGAAAGAAATCCTCCAGAGATATCTACTGTTAAAGATTTACTCTAGGGGGGAACCAGCAGTTAGCGTAATGGCTATGTCGCTGGACTCCCATGTAGTCAACCACAGTTCATGTCCCGGACCCGGTGGCTTAAAACTCACGCCGGGCGCGTGTGCATGCGTGCCCAAGATCCCGAGAGGAGAACGGAGGAGAAAGGATTGCGGCGTGGCCATCCCCCCTGGAGGTGATTTCTCACTTTCTGTCTGTCTGGCAAGCGCACGCGCCCTATGGCAAAAACCTCTCAAAAAAAAAAAAAAAAAAAAAAAAGATTTACTCTACATTTTATCAAGCTTTTTATGTCTACGTTTTTATTAACATAGATATTTTAATATACTTCATTATATATGCTGTTCTGCAATTGCTTTTTTCCTTTTCATTATTTTTTAAAGAATCATTTTATTTATTATTATTATTTTTAATTTGACCAGAGAGACACAGACAAAGAGAGTGAGAGAGAGAGAGAAAGCAAGCTGTGAGGTCCAGGACTTGAACAACAGTCTGCCATGTGGAAGTCCAGCGCCCTAACTACCATGCCACCTGCTAACCCCTGCAATTGCTCTTTTAAAAGTTTTTCTTTCAGGACCAGCAGTTAGCATAATGGCTGTGTCGCTGGACTCCCATGTAGTCGATTGCGGTTCGAGTCCTGGACCCGGCGGCTTAAACTCAGGCCGGGTATGTGTGCGTGCGTGCCCAAGATCCCAAGAGGAGAATGGAGGAGAAGGGATTGTGGCGTGGCCATCCCCCCTGGGAGGTGATTTCTTGCTTTCTGTCTCCCCGTCTCTCTCTGTCTTCCTGGAGAGCACATGTGCCCTGTAGCAAAAACCTCTATAGAAAAAAAATGTTTTTCTTTCTTTCCTTCTCCCATGAGCAAGAGAAACAGAGAGAAAGAGAGATTCCCCTCACAGAGTTCTGGCACTGTGATCCACCTCTAGCCCTAGCCTGCCCCAGATCATGGGCATCACACATCCAGATGTGCATGGAGGTCTCCAGGCATGAACTCAGACCCTGTGAGCAGTCTTGCTGAATGTTGTGTTACTGCTGCATCAGTGACTGGCCCCCAGCTTTTTTTTTCCCCACTTAACATTTTATGAAAGATAACTTGATATACTGCTTATATGAAAGCTACATAAAACTCATGTATTAACTTCAAATTATTTCATTTTGGCTATGAAATCATTTATAATGAATAAATGCCTTATAGAACATTTAGACTGAAGAGTATGCTCATCCACATTAACTATATTTAGTTGGGGGCTTATTTCTCAGAATGATCCAGGGTTCTTTAATTTTCCATATAATTTTGTTGCTACTGGATTATTGTATGAGGGTCTATACTCAGCCAGAAATCACAAAGTCATCTCAAAATATAAATCTAAAGATACAAATGTACCAAACTCTCCCTTTGGTCATAGGATGCGGAATTGTACGTTCACGTGAGACTACGCCATTGCCCTTACAACCACAAATCTGTGTTCTCCTACAGAAACCAGCATACACCCTGCCAACCAGCCCTGGAGACTTGTCAGCACCTGATCATCGCCAAATCCCTGTCGCTTATCACAGCCCACCCTTCTTTCTGTCTGTACCCCAGTACCCCAACCTAGACCAAACGACAGGCAGGGACAGGCGCAGCGGCAGGATGGGTTGGCCCGGTGGCTAGAAGCACCAGCTTCCGGCAAAGTGTGTTACTCAAAGGGCGAGGCAGGGTGCTGCAGACAGAAGCCGGCCCAATGCTGTGAGGCATCAGGGGCAAGAGGCTCTGGGGGGAGGTTTTACCCAGAGCCCAGTTTCCATCCTATTCTTTCTGCAGCAGGTTGCTGGGAATCAGAGGAGAAGCCAATTAGTACTAGGCTTTAATTACTAAGTTCCAGGCAAGGTCTGGACCCAGGTCAGTCTCATACCTCGTTCCAACTTCATTCGTCCTCTAGGCTGACGAGAAGGAAAGGGCTGCATTTCCTGGGCCTCAGCCAACTAGACTGCCTGGGCCCAGCAGAGCCTCCTCTGAGGTAGGCCCTCTGGGAATTGTTGGAGTCCAGAGGGCCCACACCCTCCCCTGGTGCAACTGTAAAACGCCCAGTGACTTGTCACAGTGGCACCCACCGATACCCCGTTAACTTAATGGATTCCACCACCAGCAGCCAAAGCACAGGGAGAAAATGAAGCCAGCACCTTCCTATCCTTCCTTCATGATGAGGGAAAAGAGGGGTCAGAAATGAAATGTGAGGGAGGAAGGGGTCATGGGACATGCTTTCACCTCCCACGTTCTGGTCTGGTCTGTCTGTACTCTGAGGTGAAGGATGTATACTGCTCCATGGGAGGGAGACACATAAATAACCTTCGAGAAGTTTAACATCCCTCTTCCCTCAGGTTCTGACACAAATACCAAAGTGTCTTTACAACAGAAAAAGCATTTGGCTTTACACCTATAGAGAACTCCATGGCCACTGTCTTTTGTCCATTGTCTCCAGTCAAGAAGAACCGTCAGCCCTGATTGCTCTCTGGAATAAGTCTCTGGGTCACACAGTATCTACTATGTGGATGTTGTGGGCAGGGAAATTTATCCACAGTGGCCTCGGAAGTCTTTTTATTCTTCTTTTATTTTATTTTTAGAGGTTTTTACTATAGGGCACAAGCACTCACCAGAAAGACAGAGAGAGACAGAAAGTGAGAAATCACCCCCCCCCAGGGGGGATGGCCATGCAACAATCCCTGCTCCTCCATTCTCCTCTTGGGACCTTGGGCATGCACATACACGTGCCCAGTGTGAGTTTAAGCCACCGTGTCCGGGACTCGAACCACGGTCGACTACATGGGAATCCAGTGACATAGCCATTACGCCATCTGTTGGTCCCAGAAGTCTGGGCCAGTATTCTGGAGCTGGTTGGGTAAGATGGAACCTATCACTTCAAACTCTGTATGTTCAGGCAGAGTAGTAAACACATTTCTTCCTGTATATCATATTCTAATGTGAATCCAGAAAGATGACAAACATAGGATGTGCTAAACCGTCTAGATTATTTTATTTTATTATTAATTTTTTTTTAGATTTTGCTCTAGGGCATGTGTGCTCATCAGAGAGAGAGAGCAAGAATGAGAAATTATCCTCCAGGAGGGATGGCCATACCACAGTCCCTTCTCCATTCTCCTTTTGGGATTTTGAGTGTGTGCGCACATGCAGCCCTGGTGTGAATTTCAAGCTGCTGGGTCCAGGACTCAAACCATGCAGCCACCATATGGGATCCGATGCCTTAAGCTCCACGTCACCTGTGGGCCCCCTTCCAGCTTATTTTAATTGGCAGATGTATCCTTTCAAAATGGCGCCTTGGCTAACTGGGCCAAATTCCTTCTACAGGGGATGTAGTTCTATAAATACAGCCTTCCTATTGATGCACAATGTCTTATCCCCTCTCCGCTGCCAACATGCCACTTCTCCTTCTAACTCCCTGCACAAATGCAGCACATTAGTCAGCCTACCCACTGGCCCGTGAAGAGGGACAGGCTGAGGGCTCAGCACAAAAGCCTCCCCACAGAGATGTCAGCCCACATCGCCGTCGGCCGGCGCACTCAGGTGAAATAACAAGCCACAATGCCCTTTCTCCCGTTCCCATCTGAGTGTAAAAACAGCAGTACCACGCACATACTGGGTGAAGTTTCTAGACAGGCATATAGTGTTACTCCCTGTAACTTCCCACGAGCTCCTCGGGTTACCATACATATTAATGCACAGACCAGCATCTGGAGAGAGGAAAATAGAGGAGCTCGGTAATTATCTTTAATTGAATTCATCGGAGAATTTTAAATCCTGAAAGTAGTTTTATAAGACAGCCTATGATGTTGTCCTTTGGAAAAGCAAGTCTCTCTTTTCCCTTCCAGAACAAGTTTCTGCAGCATGTAATACACTTCAGCACCAGCTGCAAAGATCATCACGTTGTAAAACTGTGGACAGGGACAGTGGTGACAGTGTCCGTCCCTCAGTATTCCTTGGAAGACAATTTCGTCTGTATAGCTTCCTGCTCAGAAAGAGCCGCTCAGTGGCTCTGTAAAGACGGTACCCGAGCCCCAGTTCAATTGTGTTGGCACAATGGCGAGCTGAGAACAGAAGCGTGATTGAATTTTGTGGGCATCTGAAATGGATCTCACTCTCCTGTCTCTTAGCAAACCACTGTGACAACCAGCAAGGCTCTGTCATGAAATATACGCACAGCCATGTCTGCCACATGGCATCCCATTCACAGGCAGCTTGTGGGCTCTAGAATTTCAATTAAAACCCTGTGGATTTTTTCCAGCCACTGGCCAGTCTGGCGTCAGATGCCCAGGTCTCCCTTCCAGCCAATCAAATTGGAATTGACTCTCACAGAGCAGCTCCATGAGTTCATATCCCACGGACCTGAGCAAGCATCAAGAATAATTTGGTGAGCCCCTACCATCTGGGTTTCCACCTCTTGCTGTCTCAGGACTCCTGTAAGTGGGGGGGGGGTCCAGATTCCACACTGCACAAGGTGCCATGGGCATGTCCTCCATCGCACGCTGGACATCTGATACCACACGGGCAGGTGTGGAGATTCTGGGCATTCCAGCCGAGTCCTGAAGCAGGGACACACATAGGCACACAAGACCACACACACTTGGGAAAGCTGGCACACAGAAGTGCAGGTGGTGGTTCCCTGTCCCAAGCGTGCTGTCAACATCTTCAGGATCTTGTCTCTCACCTGCCCACTGCTCTCAGAGCCTCAGTTCCCTCACCACAGAGCTCAAAACTGGACACAGCTGCCTCGCTTCAGGGCAGGGGGGGCAGCTGGGGATGTGTGCACTGCAGCCACGGGTGCACCTGGGCCTCCAGCATGTCCGAGTATGCTCATGGGTGGGGCTGCTGACCTGGGGAGCCCCCAGATCCAAGCTGCACCATTGCACAATAATGTTTTCTTTATTTTCTTTCTTTCTTTGCTTCATTTTGACTTGAGGACAAAGACTTCTTTTCTCGTTCACAGCCTTGTGAGCTCTGTTTTCCCTGCCATTTCCATCCATGGCCTCTGCTCAGGCCTCTAGCCCTCATCAGGACCCCCACACAGACTTAGATCTGGAGTATTCTAAAGCTCTTCCCTCTAGGAACCACTATGGTATTGCATGACTCCCTTTTGTCTTTTCCTGCCTTTAAAAGCAGCCTCTTTTCTTTCCCAACTTTAATTAACCCTGAACTTTTTTTTTTTTTTTAAAGAGAGATTTTTGCTCTAGGGGACATGCACTTGCCAGAGAAACAGAGAGAGGCAGAAAGTGAGAAGTCACCCCCCAGGGTGATGGCCATGCCGCAATCCCTTCTCCTCCATTCTCCTCTCGGGATCTTGGGCACACGCACACACGCGCCTGGTGTGACTTTTAAGCCACCGGGTCTGGGACTCGAACCGCGGTAGACTACATGAGAGTCCAGTGACATAGCCATTACACTAACTGCTGGTCCCAACCCTGCCTTTGTTTTTATAGGCATCTGTATTGTCATGACTAGGCAAGATGGTGGAAATCATTGCCTCCCTTGAAGACAGGGAAAGTGAGGTGCCCCAGCTTATAGTGACGACCTTAAGCTTCCAGCCTCCATGGCCATAACCTTTTCACCTCAAAGCATGGCTCCACCCACCATCCCTGGGGACCCCTTGAATGGGGGGTCACCACCATTACATACAGGCAGCCAGACGCCCAGCCTGCAATAAATGTTGGCCTGCTCCTGGCGTCTGAGCACTGTGCCAAAAATGAACAATAAAATAAATTGGTCAATTACCAGTGAAGACAAGACCGGCTTCCTAACTATTCACAGTACCCTGGCTCTTTTCCAGCGACGAAGCCAGAAGAGGCAGGGCATATCCTCCGGGTCCTTAGAAGGTCACCTGAGTACGAAGAGTCTCAGAGTCCTTAAAGTCCTCATAAACGAGGCACATTTTTACTGCCAACCACGTCCACGTCTCAGCCGTCTTGTCTACTCCTGGATGGCACTGCCATCGCTTTGAGAAACTCAGTGTAGTTGAGCCACCTCTGGGGTGGAGTTAGGAGACCAGTGACCCTAACTGAGTCATCTCCTGACCTCTGCCCAGGATTTCCTCCTGTGAAATCAAGCCCCTTCCAACTTTTGGACTCTCTAATTATAGAAAAAAAAAAAAAAAAAAGAAAAAAAATCTTTTTGGGAGAGATTTTTTTTTTCTTAGAGAGCACATGCGCTCATCAGAGAGACAGAGAGACAGTGAGACAGAAAGTGAGAAATCACCCCCTGGGGAGATGGCCATGCCACAATCCCTCCTCCTCCTCCAGTTTCCTCTTTGGATTTTAGGCTTGCACACACACATACACACCTGGCATGGGTTTTGAACTGTAGGTGTCCATGTGGGAGTCCAGCACCTTAACAATTATGCCATTTGCTGGCCTCTAATTTTATAAAATTTAGCCCTACTTTAGACTAAGCAATAGACAATCACAGAGAGACCAGAGTCTGCAGCCCGGAAGGGAGAGTAAGCCCTTCCCCTTTAGGTCATTGGGGTTCCATGTAAAGTCTCTTGCTCTCGAACTGCCCAACCAGAGCTGGGATTATAAAAAGGTCTGGCCCATCTCAGAGGCTTTGGGGATTTCACCACCAGGTGAAATGCACCAGATCTGTCACCAGATTCCCCAATCAATATACCTGGAATTTCCTTGTTCCCATTTCAAACTTGAAATGGGGCCATGCAAACATCAGCTGAATTTCTCCATGGTTTCTAACGCCACGCTTGTGGAGGCATGGCCTGTTGCCAGATTGCACTAGTCTGGTCAGTAACAGAGGGACCAGGGCATCTTGGCAGGGACAAAGCAGGAGAGGTGGTCGAGATCACTCCCTCATGCCATGACCTGCAGCTTGGGTTGCCCGTGGCAGGCTCAGCAGAGGTGTCCAGGCCTTGAGGTGTGAATACCGGGAGATGCCAACTTACATGACTCCTTTTTCCTTCTTCCTCGCCTATAGATGTGATAACCGTCTCCGAAAAGACCGTTTGTCCAGTTTGGTTGTTGGTTATCTATGGAAGAACAGGGACAGTGAAAGGGAGATGGAAGGAATTCTGGGCCAACTGCACAACTGGTGTTTGTTGTTTATTCCGGAAATGGGAACAGCCAGTACAGGGGTCAGGGTGCCCACTCCCTCTTCTTTCTGAGCCGCACCAGCAGCTCTCAGATGACCGGCATCCTCCACCCCTGCCCCCACCCCCTGTGTGGTGATAAGAGATATTAGTAGTCTGCCTCATAGGGCTGCTATGAGGGGGGACACGGGGTGACCGTGGAAAGCACTCAGCACCGAGCCTGACACCTAGCAGATGCTCAACAACTCAGCTATTTTTATCATTCTTGGGGCTCATCCCTTAAACTTCAATGTCAACTTTCTCTTTGACAAACTAGAGGTGTTAGTTGAACATCTTGTATGAGAAGCGGGCAGGATTTAGCTACAGCCGCTCCATTCCGGATGCTGGTGAATCAGGCTTCCTTTGCAGTGGGAAAGTGCTTCAGAGTTCTCTATGGTCTGCCTTGATTCCATAACGTGGTGCAGGCATCTCGAAGTTCAGTCCCACATGGACCCCAGGATACTCCTCTACCAATACCATGTCCAATGTCTGGGCCGTCCATGTGGGAGTCCAGCACCTTAACAATTATGCCATTTGCTGGCCTCTAATTTTATAAAATTTAGCCCTACTTTAGACTAAGCAATAGACAATCACAGAGAGACCAGAGTCTGCAGCCCGGAAGGGAGAGTAAGCCCTTCCCCTTTAGGTCATTGGGGTTCCATGTAAAGTCTCTTGCTCTCGAACTGCCCAACCAGAGCTGGGATTATAAAAAGGTCTGGCCCATCTCAGAGGCTTTGGGGATTTCACCACCAGGTGAAATGCACCAGATCTGTCACCAGATTCCCCAATCAATATACCTGGAATTTCCTTGTTCCCATTTCAAACTTGAAATGGGGCCATGCAAACATCAGCTGAATTTCTCCATGGTTTCTAACGCCACGCTTGTGGAGGCATGGCCTGTTGCCAGATTGCACTAGTCTGGTCAGTAACAGAGGGACCAGGGCATCTTGGCAGGGACAAAGCAGGAGAGGTGGTCGAGATCACTCCCTCATGCCATGACCTGCAGCTTGGGTTGCCCGTGGCAGGCTCAGCAGAGGTGTCCAGGCCTTGAGGTGTGAATACCGGGAGATGCCAACTTACATGACTCCTTTTTCCTTCTTCCTCGCCTATAGATGTGATAACCGTCTCCGAAAAGACCGTTTGTCCAGTTTGGTTGTTGGTTATCTATGGAAGAACAGGGACAGTGAAAGGGAGATGGAAGGAATTCTGGGCCAACTGCACAACTGGTGTTTGTTGTTTATTCCGGAAATGGGAACAGCCAGTACAGGGGTCAGGGTGCCCACTCCCTCTTCTTTCTGAGCCGCACCAGCAGCTCTCAGATGACCGGCATCCTCCACCCCTGCCCCCACCCCCTGTGTGGTGATAAGAGATATTAGTAGTCTGCCTCATAGGGCTGCTATGAGGGGGGACACGGGGTGACCGTGGAAAGCACTCAGCACCGAGCCTGACACCTAGCAGATGCTCAACAACTCAGCTATTTTTATCATTCTTGGGGCTCATCCCTTAAACTTCAATGTCAACTTTCTCTTTGACAAACTAGAGGTGTTAGTTGAACATCTTGTATGAGAAGCGGGCAGGATTTAGCTACAGCCGCTCCATTCCGGATGCTGGTGAATCAGGCTTCCTTTGCAGTGGGAAAGTGCTTCAGAGTTCTCTATGGTCTGCCTTGATTCCATAACGTGGTGCAGGCATCTCGAAGTTCAGTCCCACATGGACCCCAGGATACTCCTCTACCAATACCATGTCCAATGTCTGGGCTGGTGATGAAGGAGAGAAAGGATGCTGGCCAGGGACCAGGGGTGGAGGGTTGTCCTTTGAGCTCTGGTTCTGTCACCAGTCAACATCTAGTACGTCACCTGGAACAAGTCATTTCCCCGCCTTGATTCAGTTTTCTCACTTCTCCATCGTCTCTACAGTCCCTGTCGGCTCTCACATCACAGCCTCGATAGTCTGGATCAAGTGAAAACTCAGCCTAACCTGCATCAGGGGATCAGACTGCAGTTCTGAGCAGGGAAGAACCACATCTTCATCACACTTTTACATTTTTACCTACGTAATTCCTCTCCCCAGAAAAGCGACAGTGTTGCCTTTTTCTATTCCAGCTTTTTGCAGAATTAAGCAAAGTCATGCTTTTAAAATTGCTACAGTCCTATGTGTATGGGTTGTAGGACTTCTCAGAGCCTTTATTACACCTACAGGCATTTTTTTAACATCCACATGGAGAATGCACGCCATGTTTACCCAGTATGTTTTGCCACTGCTGAGCTCGTCTCATGAAGCATTGAAAAGGACTGATGCTCCATGGAACACACTTGAGAATTCCTGATAATATAACTTTATTATTATAATAACAGTAATCATAAGAACAATTTGCTTGTGCATGGGACTTTTCAGTTTACAATGAGCTTTCTTATACTTTGGGTCATTTGACCCTCATAATAATGTACGGTTGATGTTGTTATCCTTACCTCGTAAATGCAGTCAGTGAGGGAAAGGAGATTTCATGAAGTTTTCACAATCATACACGTTACTGGGAGGACTCACACTCAGGAGTTCTGACAGCTAGAGTGAGCAACCTTAAGATGTAACCAAGCCTGTTGGCTAACTATCTTCAGAAAAGATGGCTTAATATTGGTTTTGACAAGAACACAAGAACTATTTCCGGAAACATTCTCTAGTCTTCAGACGAGCAATGCTGAAGGATTCTGTTTGGGCAGTGAACTCATTCACGTACCTGGGGCGGGGTGGTATTCTCTGTGTGATCTATCCAGCTGGGTCCGTGATGATGTGGTAGGAGGAAAGGCACACAAAGCCTACAGCACAGTCACAGCCGTGGCCCATACAAATTAAATCCCTCTTCTCTATGGCACAGGGACACGATTGTTTCCACCAAGTAAATACCTGGACACTCGCACACATGCCAGGCTCCTGGGTGATAGCCATGATGGCCTTGCATATAGGAGATGAGATGAGATTAGAGATCAAGCTCTTTGATAGTCTCAACACGGTGTCAACTCGAACTGTTAGAGGCCATCATGATGACCCAGAATAACTGCCCAGAAGACTCTCTTCAGGAGAATGCAGGCTGAGGGAGTTTGCTCTCACGTCCTGCTAAAGGAGCTGAAGACATCTCACACCCAGGACAGCCTAATGCTATGTTCTTCAAGACTTGCAGTTTTATTCATCAGGTCAGACTGAGAATGAACTAGCTTTCTTTTCATGCAATATACTACACCACAAAACACTTAGACAAGGGGCAGGTTGTTAAAATCTGCTCTAGAATATTGAACAAGCAGCACATGAATGAATGAGTGATCTCGTGGCAATAAAGGATTTGCCTTCTGAAGATGGGGAGATCACAACTGAGTTCCTCCCATGGAAGCATGAAGACTATTCACCATAATCTGGTCTCTATTTTAACTTCTGACTGAGGCATACATAAACACCCATGAGATAAATTCCTCAAATTCAGTACTGGGAAAGTTACCTCTCTGGACACTTGTTGGCTTCCTTTTTACAAACAATAAAAATCCCCAAATGTTCCTTTGCAATTGGACTGGCAGGAAGCCTAGCGTTATTTATTTATTGCTTAAATCAAAAGCAATTTAGGTTCTTGTACGTATCTCCCTCTCCCCCTCACATGGCTCCTCACTCCCTCTGTTTTTTTCATCTGTATTTTATCTTTCTCATTTGTATGTTTGACTTGTGTATCAAACATGCAAATAAGACCTTACTTCTCTGTCGGGACGAGAACTACAGAAAGGCGGTGTACTGGCATGACGGCCCTTACCTTGTGGATTTCTCGGTGCACGTGGACAGTACTGTTTCCAACCTTGGTGTCTGTGCTGGTCTCATTGTGATAGCTGGGAGGGAGGTTTTCCAAGGTCACTTCTGGTGACGTTTTAGCAGCAGCTTCTTCTGCCTCCATCTATTAAGTCAATGATTTCATGAGAAAACTGTTTTCACGTAGGGCAAATAAGAGCCCATTAGAAAACAAAAAATAAAACCGCCTCTCTTTTCCTCTTCTGCAATCACGGACAAGGGTAATGATGACAGGTGCTGTTAACTGAGACCTCACCAGTACAAGACATAGTACCAAGTGGTGTGTGTGTGTTTGTGTATATATATATATTTCTTTTTCTTTTTTTTGGAGAGGTTTTTGCTATAGGGCATGTGCGCTCACCAGAGAAACAGAGACAGAAAGCAAGAAATCACCCCCAGGGGGGATGGCCACCACACCTCCTCCATTCTCCTCTTGGGATCTTGAACATGCACGCACACACGCCTGGAGGGAGGGGAAACCACCAGGTCCAGGACGTGACCCACAGTTGACTACATGGGAGTCCAGCAACATAGCCATTATGCCAACTGCTGTTCCCAGTGGTTTACATATTTTATGGTCCAAAATCTCACACCCTAGGATGTGGGTGTTAATATCTCTATTCTACGAGTGGGGAAACTGAGGCTCAGGGAGACGATAAATTTCCAGCTCTTAGTGAAGGGTGAAGTTGGGATTTTTCTTTTTTTAATTTGGCAGAGAGTGCATGCACTTGCTGGAGAGAGACAGAGAGGGAGAGAGAAAAACTAAGAGAACAGCCCCCTGCTATGGAGGGAGGGTCATGCCACAATTCCTTCATCATTCCTCCCTCCTTTTGGATTTTGGGCATTCACGCACAAGTGTCTGGAAGGTTGCTCAAGCTGCCCAGCCCAGGACTTGCACTATGTGGTCAGCCATGTGGGATCCAGCTGCTTTAACCACCACACCGTAGACTGGGCCTGGAGTTGGGATTTGAACACACTTCCATTTAAGCAGTCTTGACTCCTATATAAATGCAATTGGTACCCTTTCTGTCTCCTGGGGGCTTAGTCTGGACGTCACCTGCATCCAATTTCCATACATTCCTCAACCAACTCCATTTCTCTGAGGGCACTCTCAGGTCTCAGATGCATGCATGGGCCCTGAGTGCTGGGGAGTGAACACCCTCGCAGTGCGGCACAGGCTATGGGGTAAATGCCTGCATTTTCTCCCCTCGGCAAGATTGTTCTAAGACACAGAGAATCTCCACAGTCCCTCTCAGAGGCCACAGTGGGTCAGTGAGATCGAGCCCCAGATGCCCACAACGGTCAAGTGTTCATCAGCAGACACTCACTGCCTTTCTTCTCTTCCATCCCACCTTCCCACTTCCTGTTAGTGTTTACTGGGAATCACTTCCCAAAGTAAGCTATTAGCTCCCAAATCCCTGCTGCAGGGTCAAGGGCCAAGTACACCCATCCTGACTCGTTGCAGGGCTGAGGAAGAGTACAGCAGGAAGGCCCTACTGAAGGTGCCTTCCTAAATTCCTCTCTCTTGAAATAAACAAACAAACTTTATTTAAGAAGCCTGTCTGGGGCCAGCAGGTGTTACAGTGGCTAAGGCACCGGATCCCACATGGCAGACTCAGTGGTTCGAGTCCCAGTGCCAGAGGTCTGAAAAATACGCTGGGTGTATATGTGTAATGTCCAAAATCTCAAGAAGAGAGTGGAGGAGAAGGGACTGTGGCATGGTCATCCCCCTTGGGGGATTATTTCTCACTTTCCCTCTCTCTGACTCCCACCAGTGTGTGAATTCATCCCATAGGAAAAAAAAAAGTCTTAAAAAAAAAACAAAAAAAATCTCTGTCTCCTTTCCCTTCTCTTCTCTCTCTCTTGCACTCTCTCATAAAGGAAAAAAGATTATTAGAATCTGAAACCTACAGCATGGCTTTCAGATACCTGACAAGTTGCCAGATCTAGAGTTTGGGCTGAGCAGATAGTTTTTTCATAAAGCCTTTCCCGGTCTCAGCCAGTGGCTATTTAAACAGAATGACCTAACAAGGCTTTAATGGCACCATGGACTAAATATGTGGTTTACCATGGAAATTTCAACCACAACTATTACTGCCACTAGCAAGAAAAATGTAAGCCTGAAGCGATCAGAGTGTTTCATAGAGGAGGAATGCGAATGCTATTAAAAATGGTGCTTAGATTTGGTTGAGTCTGTGCGTCTGTTAAAGGGGCATAGTAGGAAAACTTGGGAAGATACATTCAGGTATTGGGATTCTTGCTAGAACTAGGTGAAGCAAGTATATGCCAGCTACAGATGCGACAACGAGGGTGGAGGAACTGGGTGATTTTATCTTAAAAATACATTTATTAGTAGCATATAGAATACTAAAACAGAAAAGCAGGAACATCCTACACTGAAGCCATTTGACGATTTGCTTCTCCCATAACAATCTCATAGCTATGGCTACTCGGTCTTTCCCCCTGAGAAACCACAACAGCTTGAGTCAGCTGGAGTCTTTAACATGTAAGTGACAGAGGATCATGATGCAACAATGAATACAATATGGTCTAGGTCCTTTATGTCTTCCCTTAGACAATAAATAGCGACTATACTGTGTTTATGAGACATACGGGTTTTCTGGCAGGCACTGAAATGAATACTTATAGCCACAATCTATTAAGAATCGATTCTAGGGACCACAGCTGATGTAATGGTTACATCACTGGACTTTGACATAGTCGACCACAGTTTGAGTCCAGGCCCTGGTGACTTAAAACTTATGCCAGGCACGTGTGTGTGCATGCCCAAAATCCTGAGAGGAGAATGAAGGAGAAGGGATTGTGGCTTGGCCATCATCCTGGGGAGTGATTTCTCGCTTTCTGTCTCTCTCTGCCTCTCCAGCAAGCACATGCTCCCTAAAGAAAAAAAAGAAAAAAACTCTCAAAAAAAATCTAGATAAGAGTATTTTGAAAAGATATTTTTAACATTTTTAAGATTGTTAATATTTTAAGACAGCTTAAACTATATTTACAATGTAGATTCCATTGAGAATCGATCAGGCACTGGTTCCTACTACCTCTATTCATATAACGATAATGGTAGCTATTAGTTATTGAGGGCCAGTAATCTCCTTCATCTTTACAATTTCCTCATGAGAAGCTACGTATATTGCATCTATTTTACTTAACTTTACTTGCTTTAGTTTTTAGATGGCTAGGTACCTTGCTTTATTTACAACATTGCATTTAATTCTCCCTTTAACCTTAGGGGTGAGAATTGTCTCCGTTTCAGAGCCCAGACCACACTGCTAGTAAGTGGCAGAGTTGGGACCGAATGAGGGAACATTGGTGCCCACCGTCCGCTGTCCTGTAATGAAGGTGTTCATCCTCTCTCATCCTGTTCCCACTGCCAGCAAGGACACTCTTTGGGAAATAATCACTGACTGGAATAGCTGTGACAGCCGATGTCTGGTGACAAACTTCAGCCTACCAAATTATACAACCCGAGAAGAGCTGTATCTGGAGAAGGAAGACTGGGGTTCTGGAGAATCCTGACGTGGATTACTCCCATGGTGAAGACACCATCACTGAGTTCCTGAGGGGACCCAGGCTGCTTGGATCATGGTGAGAAACTGAAGAGGCCCTTCCAGCTCCGGCATGTCCCTCATCCGAGGCCCAGGCTGCACACTTTCTGAGCAGCGATGGGCACTTTACCACTGAATAAAAACATGGCGGCCAGGGGTGGGGGTGAGTGAGTGGGGGGCGGCTAGTCAGTCTTCCTGAGCCTCTGTGCAGGAGGGAAAGTCCTAGAACCCAGTAAAGAAAGCCAGAAGACCTGGAGCCAGAAGATCACAAACTCGATTTAAGTTGAAGCTGTGGAATTAAGAGCCTTGGGCCCATCTGACTTCTGTGCTCCTTTAATTGCTCCAGTCAAAGCTCTTTTGCTATGAGAGGGTGCAGAAAGCCTACGGGGCTTGGGATCTGGGCCAGTCCAGTGGCTATGCAGGTACAGCGCCCATGTCACTGCCTCCCAACCCTGTGTCCCCTTCCCTATAAAATCTATCAGTTTGACTATTGTGGGGTGGAAGGAGAAAACTGCTCAGGGCTGGAGGCAGAAAGCAACCTTACCCAATAGACACGACCCAGCTGTGAAGGTTTTGCCCAAGGGGGCTACCATGCTGGACATCAGCCTGGACACCTGGGCTCTAGTCGGCTCTTTTTTGCTGGCTTCTCCGGAACGGGAGGCTACAGCTAGAGCCGGGCCCAATAGTGCCCATGCCTGCCCACCCCAGGCACCTGGGACAGCTCCCCACACCTGGCCAGGAGGGCTGGGGCTGGGCCAGTTGCACCTCCTGCATACAGCTTTCTCCATGCCTGGGTGCCCACCAAAGAGTGCAGAACCACAGTGCTCTCCACCCACAGGGATGGAAGGAAGATCCCTGGCAAAGCTTTGCCAAGGTGTCTGGCACCTGAAAGCAAAAGCTGCTACATCGTGCACACCTATTACGTGCCAGGAGCCCACACCATTCACAGGAAACAGGCTCAGGGTGTGGATTTGCCCAGTGTCACCCTGCTAAAGAGCGACAGAGGCAGACCCGAGCCCAAGATGACTCCTGAGCACTCGTGCACGGAGGAGACTGTCTCTCTCACTCCAAACCCCCACCCTCTGACAATTCACACTGCTGGGATTTAGGATTTTGATTTCCCATCTCTGCCCCCATATGGCATTAGGGGAACCAAGACAGCACAGACCGTCTGGCAGCAAGCTCAGAGTTCCTCGTCTCCTCCTGATATCCTACCTATGTCCTGGTGGCACAAACGCAAAGCTCAACAGACAAGCTAGGACTTAGAGAAGGCTGGGGTTCGCTCGGTTCTCTGCAGAACCCCAAAGCTGGAGCACCTGCCCGGGCAGTCATGGCTCACTACAGGGGAAGGCCAACTGCATAGTAAAGGCGGTGGCGCGCAGCCTGCAGGCAGGTGGTGACCAGCTACCCAGGGAGGGTCCACCGGGGATTCTCGGTGGAGAGGTTTGGATTCAGACTGGCAAGAAGGCACACCGAGGGGAAACTGGGATCGCCTGCTTGGCCTCAGGTCACTCGGCGTCTGCTGCCGGCCTTCCCCAGCCCTTCGCGGGCGGGAGGTCCGGGCCAGCGCAGCGACCAGGGCTCGCAGCACGCCCTCCCGCGGGCCAGCTCAGCGCGGGGCTCACCCACCTCCTCCACCGCGCTGCGCAGTTTGTGCTGCGTGTCCTCCATCAGCTCCTCAACCTCGCGGAACATCTCGTTCAGGGTGGCCTCCTCTTGCGGGTAGCTGAGCGCCTGCGTGTGTCCGGGAACGCAGTCTGAGCGCGGACCACCCCCCTCGCCAGCCCCGCCGCCCCGCCCCGCCCCCAGACGGGACGAAACCCAGTCGCCTCCCGACGCAGCTCTCCCTGCACACGGGCGCCCCCCTCCACTCCAGCCCAGCGATCCCGCGCCCCAATCCCCTCCGAACCCCCATCTCCGTTCTGCAAACGCAGAGCTCTGCCCCGCTCCCGCGATTCTGGGCCCCTAGCCTGAGTAAACGAACCCGGGCCCCCTAGGCTAACTAACGCTGCTCACCCCATTTCTGTCCTGAGTTCGAGCCCTGCCCCCTCCTAGATCAGCACGAACCGCAGTTCTAGTGACCGGATCCCCACTCTCACCCGAACCTCTCCCAGCCCCAGTCTGGACTGGGCAGAGCACAGGTCAGCACCCTCTCCTCCAGGTCGGAAACGAACCGGCGCCCCGCCCCTCACCCACCCAGGCGAGACTGAACAGAGCCCTCTCCCTGCCTCTCCCCGCACCCACCCCGACCTTACCGAGCTGCGCGCGCCTTAGCACCAGGTCGCCGCGGGGCTGCGGGAGCCGGAGAGGCCGCGGGTGCTGGAGTGCAGCAGGGATGCGGCAGCGCTGGTACCGGGCGACCTGCAGCGAGCGCCCAGCCCAACAACCCGCTGCGGAGCTCTGTGGGAGGGGCCGCTGCTCCGCCATTGGCCGACCTGGGCGCCCGCGACCTCGCCCCCCAGGACCGCCTCTTCTGCCATCTCCTTCCCTTCATCCGATTGCCCCGGGGCATCCCTACCGCTGTCATCTCTGGCCTGAGGTCTTGCAGCAACCCACTGAGGGCAGCGGTTTTGGGGTGGGGGGAGTCTTTCCGGGTCCCACCTTTCCTCACACCTTGCGTATCTCCCCCCAGCATGCGATCCTGCAGGGTGCGACCCTAGCCGCTCAGCCTGGAGTTCCAGTCGTCACCAGCTGGCCTCGAACCGCCGTGGTGGACGCCATACCAGCCAAGAAGCCCAAGCGCAGCTTACGAGGCAGCTCAGGAGGATGTCAGCAAGCTCCCCGGGGTGGGGGGTGGGGAGGTGGTAAGGGTCTGGCTGCTCTGCTCCTTCCCGCCTTCCCACCCCTCCAAACTACCGGATTTGTGCCCCAGCTGGCGCAAGTGTAAGAGGTCATGCGCCAGTGTACTGCCCCAGGGAGAGGAGGAGCATGGATGCCTGCATGTGTGTTCATTGTCATGTGAGAGCAGAACTTGGTCTTATAGCATTCCCCCACCCGAGTGCCTATAATGGGGGGCGCTAGGATTTTTATATTTTAATGAGAGTGTTTCTTGAACCTCCTCTTATTTTCTCATAGTACTCTGTCTAGCCAGTCCTTCGGCCTCCTCTGGGTCTCACTAACTCCTCCCAGTCTCCCAAAACTCAGAGTTTCTCCTGACCCTTCCCCCTTTGCTCCCCATCTCTCCTCTGGGCGGCTCTGGCATGGATGTTTCCCCATCCCAGCCCTGGCTTGCCACAACTGTCTGTTCACTGGCCCTGCGGGGCCCAGGAGGGCTGATCGTTACACCATTAGCTATAGATAGATCCATATCATTACTGAACACTCACTACGTGCCAGGCATAGGTGTTAACTCATCTGATCCTCAACAACCCTCTCAGGTTGGTACTGCTACTTTTGTTCCTATTTTACAAATGAGGAATCGTTCCTAAGGTCCTATAGCTAGTAAATGAACCCAGGAATGTAGTTCCAGAGATTTCCTCCTTAACTGTCACACCCCTCTGCCATAAACCTGGCTGAGAGCCAAGTGCGAGTATGCGATGAGTGATTTCCATAGGTACCATGTGTTTGGCGGCTATGTCACTTGGCCCATATGACTGAGTGTCAGTTGGAGAGAAAGCACCTTTGGGCACTTCTTGGCATTACCACTTATGCTCATCACAGTTCCAGTCCCATGGATCCTGGACAGTCCCACAGGTACCCAGCGTGTTTAAGGCTGACCATGCCAGGGACTCAAACCATGGTCGCCTTGTGGGATCCAGCTTCTCCTGCGCAGCTCACTTTCATTGCTTCATGGAACCAGCTCTCAATCACCGTTAAAGTAAGGAACATCTAAAATGTTTCCATTGTGCCATTGGCTAAGCTCTGCATCCACTAGGGACTTCATTTTTCTGGAATGATTTAAGGATGCTAAGTGCTCACATTTTCTTTGTGATGGACTTACCAAGTCATGCCCTGGGTCCCCTCCAGGCCGGAGAAGATGGCAGCAGAGTGGTCATAAGGTGCTGAAAATTACCTAGAATATTAGCAACCATGCAGCCATTCCAGCATGCAGCTGTTTGCCCTGTAGAAACTCCTGACCCTGTGCTTCAGGAGAAATGCATAAACATGTTTATTGAAGCAATATTTACAATGGCAAAAATGTGCAAACTGCTTATCAGTGGTTTTCAGCAGGGGAATTGGATAAGCTGGGGTTTCTACAAATAAAATAATGTACAGCAGTGAAATGAATGAATGGTGTTTATAGGCAACGACATTGCAAAGCCTAAAACATGAAATGGAGTGGGAAAGGCAACTTGCAAAATGAGATGTACCAGATAGTATTTGAACATATTTTAAAAACACCAAGCACTAGCATGCATTACTAATAGATGCTACACACATGGTGAAAAATACAGAAATGTGCAAACTGCCTCTAGAGTGGGAGACAGGAAAAAATGGAGTTACCTTTACTTACATTTAAAATATTTCATTACTATAAGAAAAAGTGTTTCAGCATGAAAGAATTCTGAAGCAAAAGTGTTCAAATAGCCACATCTATTTAATCATCACACTTAACTACATGTGGGTATATGAGTGTAGCCGTTTTATCATGTTTGGTATATCTGAAATATTTTGTAAATAAGTTGGTCAAAAAAGAAGAAAAAGAAAAAGACAATTCCCTGAAAAGCAAAAACACAACCAAAAAACCTTTCATAGGGGCCAGGTGATGGCACAGCAGTAATGCAACTGGACCCACATGGGATAGGTCCTGGATTCACATCCTGGGACCTCCCTGAGCATACTGGGCAAGTGTGTGCCCATGACCCATCCAGCCTGGCTGAGACTCGGGATGATCACAGACAGCGTTGAAGGTACCTATCTCTGTCTCTGTCTTTCTTTCACTGGAAGACATAAATAAATAAACTTAAAAAAAAAAAAAAGAGAGAGAGAGACCAAAAAACCCTCTTATAGCCAAAAGACTTTTCTTAAATCTGTTGACAGAAATGCTAACCTGTCCAAGGCCCAGCAGCAGCCTCCATAACTGCGAGGTGGGTATGGGTAAGGGACGTCTACACTGACCTTGGGAGAAGAGTAAAAGACCCTTCTAGTCTGCTTAAATGGTGAGATGCCTTTCTGAGCCACTGGAATGACATCACTGGGAAGCTGGAACTGAGTAATGGCTCTGGCCAGTAGGTGGGGCTTATCTTTACACACACACACACACACACAGAATAGTACTCAAACAAAGAAAACTCAGATAGCTTAAAAACAGAATTCGTGTAGATAACTATTATTCCCTTGAATGGCATTACAGTGTTAACAATTCAGGGCCAGCCCTGTAACCCAGTGGTTAAAGGGAGCTAGGTTCCATGTGGCTGGATTCCAGCTCTGGAGGCTAGAAAAACATGCATGGAGCATGTGTGCATACATGCCCAAAATCTCAACAGGATGAACAAATGGGCTAGAAGGGATTCCAACGTGCTCTCCCTGTCTCTGACAATTAAAAAAAAAATGTGAACCATTCTGAATTGTTCATTAGAAAATGGGAGGGTTTTCTTTTAAAAAAAATTTCCTTCTTATTTATCTCTTTCCTATTAAATGATAGCGGACATAACTTGGATTAAATTGTGAAGAATTATGCTGAAAGGCAATGTATCTAGAGTTAGTTAGTATTTGCTTTCTCTACCGCAGTGCAGACCCCATGAGATGGCGTCTGATCTTGCTCCTGCAACCATCTCCGGTTCAGCCCAGGGCCTGCCGAAATTCAGCAGTCGGTAAAGATATATCCAATAAATGCAGGCCCACTAGGCCTGGGATCCCACCCACAGGGAATCTGCAATGCAATGAGGAATCAGGGACATGGGCAATGAGACAGTGGGTGGATGAAAAGACAAAGTGAAACTGACAACAACAAAGGGAGAATGAAGCAAATGAAAACTGACCCTTTTCAGAATGCCCATGAGGGTGTCTCTCCCTGGTCCAATTATGGTGGGAATGGGAGGCCAAGTGGTGGACACCATGGCCACCCCATGTGATCAAGCCAGAGCTGGACATCTGACTACAGCTGACACATCAGGTCTTTCCTGGGATTTTGAGGCTGGAGAAACCACCCAGTGGAAGAAGAGGGAAATTTGTCCATGAGCCTGAGAGGTGGACAGGGTGACAGGAAGAGAACAGCTGCTTCCACGATGCCATCCTGGTTCAGGCTCTAGTCTGTCTTCCTTGGTCTCTCTGGGCTGCAGCTGCACCAGCTGCCTCAGACTCTGCAGGTGTTTTCCTGTTCCTCTCAAGTACTCCCCTTTTGTGCAAACTGTATTTGCTTTTTGTCTCTATCAATCCGCCTTAACTTAGACACCGATCATCCTTACAAATGTCTGGGGTAGTTCTTCCTCCATTTTAATAAGGTGATCCTCTTCAAGGAAGGTTTGTTTTAGAGGACGTTACCCCCTTCGAGGCCCACATGTAAGAAACAGGGCTACTGGGTCCAGCCGAACAGGGAAGGGTCCCCAAGAGGGCTTCTCCTTTGTCAGGCAACCCTGACCAGCAGTGCCAGCCACCGAATTCTCAGGGCCTTCCCAGGTCCTGTCTGCAACGTGCTATTGTTCTGAAGAAATTAGTGCCAAGATTTTTCTGAATGGAAACTCCATCTGGCTTTGAAAAGAGTATTCACGTGGATTCAGGGTTTCCATGAGTAACAGTTACTGAATATCCAAAACACACATTGAATTTGCCAAGTTTCCGTGGGTGGGTGAGCAAAAGAGCCCCACAGGACCATATTCCTGGCCATCCCCCTTGGAACGCAGCACAGGGAGACAAGCCCTGAGCCTGCCGTCTTGATTTTATTTAGCAGGTGGGTCCATGTGCTCTGTATATTCTTGTATATGCACTGAACCAGAGCATGGGAGAAAAGGACTAGGGAACAAGAGAATGTGGTGGAATTAGCACCGAAAGAAGAAAAGTAATGAATTGATGTTATTAGGCCACTATGGAGGAAGACTCTCTGGAAATCTGTTTCTACCCAATTCTCTCCACTGCTTGGGGGACCAACATTGAGTTTGTTTATTCTCTGCAGCAATTTTTTTATACTGGCTGCATAATCACCTTTTTTTTATAAAGGGGCTAAAAATATAGATGTCTGTGTGTTGTCTTGGAGATGCTGATTCAGTAGGGATGAGACAGGGACCTCTTAATGCTGTGGGGAGTCCTGGTTCTGTAGGCCACAGGAAAGATCCTTGCTAAGGAGTCTGAGGTCGTCACCCTCCCCAAAAAGCTCTTCTATCCTGTCAGCCTCTTTGCTTGGTCAGATCCAGTGATGTTTGCTTTCCTCTGGACATGGTTGGAAGCTTCTGGATACTGGAAAGAAGGCTGGATGTGGAGCTAGACAAGCCTGGGTTTGGATTATGGTTCTGACCCAGGGCTGACTATCCCTGAGTTCTCTAGTTTACAGG